TCTTGTCTGGTGTGTGGTGAGTGCACTGTGGCTGCTGTTGAATCATCCAGGTAGATGCTGCTGTGGTGAATAGCACATTCCAGAGCCAAGTTTATCTATCCATCTCTTTATCCGTAACAGTGGACAAAGTTTTGCTATACATTTTGATTGGATCTTGGTGGACTAACACAAACAAACTGTCCAACACCATCAGGTAAAAATACTATGACAACAGCCAGAAACGTATTAGAGGGCAAGCATACCACCTTTGGAACCAATCCCCGGAAGGACAGGACGTCTCATTGGTCCACATGCAGTTTCTGCCTTATCTAGAGACTAATTCCTAAGGTTTTGGCCTGTGACCGCAATAAAAATTCCTCAGGACCTCCGGATGCAGCAGCAGTGGCCACTATCTATCCAAATCTGTTCATGTTTGGAAAGTGGAAGAGATATATCCAGCTGCAGACCCGCAGCACCACCAGTTTCAGAACCCCAGTTTCAGAACCCCAGCGCCAGAACCGGAAGTGAAGGAGGGGCGGAATTATTATTATTGCATTATAATAATTATTTTAGCAAGCATGTAAGGACAAACCGGGCCTTGAGTTCCTCAGTTGATACAATGTAAGTTAAATTAAAACAAAATTGTTGTGATAAAACAGGCCTAGCTTGGGTTGAATTGGTCCTTTTGTATAGATTTTTAACAAAATAATGCCGAATTTTCTCTTTTTTTAGATTTTGACATTATAATGCATGCTGCACATGTTCTTGTGAAATAAAGTATATTTTATAAAAAATACCCATGCTTTTTTATTTATTTTTTATTAAACAATCAAAATCATCTTACAAATACATCTTCAATATCAAAACAATTTAAGATTTAACACAATAAATAAATAAATAAATAGAACATAAAATATCACAGAGGTCTAATGAGTTATCAGATTGTGTATAATTTTGAAAACCTCCAATGATTGTCTTGTTTTATATCTTTCAAAGCTTTATTATACAAAGTTAACTCCTTCATAAAAAACAAAAAACAATGGTCTTATCTTCCTAAATCTACACGTATGTATAAACTGCTTAGCTAAAATTATTAAACTGTTATACATTAAAATAGAGTCTGGTTGAACCAGGCTACATTAAAATGCCCATAAGTTTCAAGTATTATTTTTTTCACCATCATGATCAGGAAGTAACTCGTAATACAATGAAACGAATAACTGAAACTGTATACAATTATTTTACACAAAATCAATGTTTTAAAATGCTTATTGTACAGTAATGTATAGCATCATAACATAGAGAGTATGACGTTTCTTGTTCAATAAAAGCTTCGTTTCATGTGTAAAATACCCTCCAAATTACGTTAGGTGGCGTTATTAGGTTTCAAATCTAAGTTCCGCCCCTCAATTACGTTCCTGGCGCTGGTGTTGGTTAGAATCTAACGCCGCCCCTCACTTCCGGTTCTGTCGCTGGGGTTCTGAAACTGGTGGTGCTGCGGGTCTGCAGCTGGATACTATAGAAGTGGGAACCTTAAAAACGGATGTAAACTACAGTACACATCCATTTCATACTTATTACGAGGAATACGTATCTCTGCAACATCTTGCAGAAATTAAGCTGTTAATATACAAATGAAGGAATGTATATTATGAATTCCTCCAGTCTGTGAGGAAACAACTACAGCATGACCCGAGTCTCATGCCAGAGAGACAAAAAGTGGATTAACCAAGTTCTGAATGCCTGGTCCAGAGAGGCAGAAGATACAGAGGAATTTGCAACATGGTTAAGCTCAGGAGAGCGAACCATCACTCAAAGGTACCTTTGAATGTGTGTTCTAGATCTTTTGCTCCTACGTCAGAGCCTCATCTGCGTATTCCAGATTTTAGGACCCTTTGGTGCTCCTGGAGATCGGCATCCCACGGAGCTTCATGTCAAGCCTGTTGATACAGATTCCTGCTCTCTTTCTCCAATGTATTGTCACCCAGCAAACCAGTGGAAGACGAAACGCAAACGAACTGCTAGTGCAAACGAACTAGTCTAGACTAGTTCCCTGAGTCTGACGAAACTGGGTTGGGGGGTGGGGGTTGGGGATGATTGTGGGGATCGTGCATCCTATCTCTCCAATTACAGAAGAAAGAAAAAAAAACAATTAACGTTATTTTGTTGGCAGCAGCGGTTTAGAGAAATGATTTCATGCAATACGTAACTCAAAAACCAAGGCTGCGTTCAGCTGCGACAAAAAGGTGTTAAACGTTTTTTTAAATGGAAACTACATTTTAAAATTAAATGAAATGCGCATAACATCTTCAAAATCATTATTTTGATCGGTGACAGCTTGTTCACCAGATACATCATCAAGTGACAGTGACACAAATATTTGATAGAGTTCAGTGCTCTGCAATGGGCTCTATGCACGGCGTTATTTCCGGTGAAGCATTAGGGATGCTCGATAACTTCCGCCGATCGTAGAGTCCAATGCAATACCGAGAATTTATATTGAATTTTATACTCCATGGTTATACTAATGAAACGTTAGTCACAAAAACAGATAAAACAGACACCCCTCGTTGTGTTTATGCTTCTTTTTAAAATTATATTAAATAAACATAACTATATATAAAATTACATCTAAACGTATGTACGTTTCGTTTCAAAGACGGGAGGACAGTAAATATTGAAGACTCTGCCATAATCCCGTTTTCTCCGGTTTTCCTCTGCTTTAATCTACACAACCGGAAATGGACGAGCATCCTTACGTCAAATGCGGAACTTATGCGTGCATATAGCCCATAGGCCTAAATCGCTGAGCTATTTTAAGTTTCGCAGGTGATACTACTATTCTTCTGTTTTCTTGCATGCAGTAAAGTGAAATTTCACTTCATCATTATGTACCAGACATTGCCACATTGTGTATGGCAAGCCGTTTCAACTTTTATTCATTTCCAGGATATGAATTCTTGATATCAACAATTGTATTTTCACTAGTGAAATCATAGGCTGCCATTCAAAACCAATTGTTGATATCAAGAATTGATTTCTTACTAGTTGAAATTCTAATTTCACACATCAGAAATACAATTATTACTAGTAAAAATCCTTTTTTTGATATCAAGAATTGAATTCTTACTAGTTGAAATGTCTATTTTTGATATCCACAAGTTAATTGCTACTAGTAACAATGATAATTTTTGATACCAATAATTCAATTTTCACTAGTGACAATGTTAATTTTTGATATCATGAATGTGATTGTTACCATTTTAGATATCTGAAATAATATTGATATCAGAAATACATTTTCAGATATCAAAAATTGACATTACAAAGTAGTGACAATTTCATTATTGATATCAGGAATTCACATGTTTACTAGTAACAATGTAATTATTGATATAAAAAAGTTATTTCTACTAGTAAAAAAAACAATTCTTGATATCAACAATTTATTTTGAATGGCAGCCTATGGTGAAATTTCACTAGTGAAAATACAATTACAGATATCAGCAATTAAATTGTTGATATCAAGAATTCATATCCTGGAAATGAATAAAAGCTAAAACGGCTTGCCATACCTTGTGGAATAAAGTTGAATTACACGTATTCAGTCATCAAAGATTAAATTATTGTTTTGTAGAAAAAAATATGTATCTAGGGTCGTTAGAAACCCTATACATTTTTTTTTAAATGAATGGGAAAACAGGGATTCTTTTATAATTTTAACATTTTGTCTTGGTATATTGTTTATAATTAATTGAATAATAGGTTGATGTCTAACTTTAGTGAATGACGTCCCAGGTCAGTAAAGACCCAAGGTATGCGTTTAAAGGGTTAGTTCACCCAAAAATGAAAATTAAGTCATTAATTACTCACCCCCATGCTGTACCAACCCCGTAAGACCTTCGTTCATCTTCGGAACACAAATGAAGATATTTTTGATTAAATTTGAGAGCTGGATCACTGCTCCATAGACTGCCTAAGGGACTGGCTCTTGACGGCCCATAAAGTCATTAAAGAAAATGTTTAAATATTCCATGTGCCAACAACGGCTTAATTATAAGTTTATCAAGCGACGAGACTACTTTTTGTGCGAAAAAAACATAAATAACGACTTTATTCGACTATTCCATTACTTCCTTATGGGCCTTGAGACGAGAATTGAAGAGATTTCCAGAACGCATGCGCGAGAACGGAGACGAGGACGTTCTTCTTCGACTACTTCTTGTTACCGGCTGCTCACCGCTTAGAAGTATTACCGCCCCCTACCGTGACATGCTGATATAGCTGGAAGCGCAAAACTTTCTGTTTACAAGCAGTGGAAGACACGCGCTGTAGCCTACATACGTGTTTTAATTACCGTATTTTACCCAATATAAGGCGCACTTAAAAGCCTTTAATCTTCTCAAATACGACAGTGCTGTGCGCCTTACAATCCGGAGCGCCGTATACATGGATCATCATCTGATCATCTATGGATCATCGCCTTATATATGGATCGTCATCATACCGATCATCATCGGTAGGTGGCGGTAATACTCCTAAGCGGTGAGCAGCCGGTAACAGGAAGTAGTCGAAGGAGAACGTCCTTGTCTCAGTTCTCGCGCATGCGCCCATAAGGAAGTATTGAAATAGTCGAATAAAGTCGTTATTTATGTTTTTTTTCCGCACAAAAAGTAGTCTCGTCGCTTGATAAACTTATAAATGAGCCGCTGTAGGCACATGGAATATTTAAACCTTTTCTTTAATGACTTTATGGGCCGTCAAGAGCCAGTCCCTTAGGAAGTCTATGCAGGAGTGATCCAGCTCTCAAATTTAATCCAAAATATCTTAATTTGTGTTCCGAAGACAAACGAAGGTCTTACGGGGTTGGTACAGCATGGGGGTGAGTAATTAATGACTTAATTTTCATTTTTGGGTGAACCAACCCTTTAAAGGTTACATGAATCAACTGGACCATAAATAACCTATCAATCTATTATCATGATATTATGTGTGAGTGTGGGTTGAAAAAACAATGGAAAGATTTTTGGAAAGATTTTAATAGTTATTGAATGTTCTACATCTTACAGTAAATATTATACAATTACAAACTTGGCTTAATTATGTCACAGAGATCACTAACTGATCTTCAAAAACAAAAACAAAACAATAATAAAAAAAAAAAAACCCAAAATATTAAAAACAGTTTTACACTTCATTTCACAAGCCTGATGCGGGTCTCCTTGCTCAAACGGTATACAGCACGGCCTGGACGGCACTGGCGAAAACGCGCTCGGACCTGCCAGAACCTCGATGGTGCCAGAACCGTGCTGTCGTGCGTAATGCATACTATGGGGGCAAGGACTCTTTAACAAAGGGAGATCAATTCTGGAAGACTTTCCCCTTTTTGCTTTACATTTAGAATGCAAACAACAAAGTCTTATTCTCTATATGGGTCAAACGTTAATAGCCAATTTCCTAAACAGTAGCGTGAAATATAGCAACCTCTTGTATGTTTGCGTCAAAGCCTATGGTACATATCACAGGTTTTCAGCAAGAGTGTGAAACCAGTGCCACAATTACTTTAGAAATACCTTTACATACTGGTGACGTGACACTGACTTCACTAGAGCTAATAACCCGTTGCATGCATCACGGGCGCTAGTTAACAATCCTTTGATCGATGCCCTGAAATCAAAGAACAGAAGAGTGCATGGGTTTGCAATATCGACATCACATGTTCTCAATACGCTCGAAACTGAAAAAAACAAAAAAAAACAAAAAAACAAACAAACAGAAAATAGAAGCCTAGTCCACGTCACGCCGAGTGAAAATGACTCTGTTTACGACTGATTCAGAAAAAAAAAAAACACCTGAATTCACACAGAAAACAGATTTTAAAATGGGAGAAATACATCAAAATCTATAATGCATGGTGAGTGGGAAAATATCTGAGTACTCATATTGGGGGGAAAAACGTTTCTGTTCAGGATTAAAGGAATAAATCACCCAAAAATAAACGTTCTGTTATTTTTTTATTTGTTTGTTGCAGAATGTTCACACAGCTTTCCTTTTTGGATGATCTAGCCCTTTAAATTCCACATGACCCAGTAAAATGTTTTAAATCCCAGTAACTAAGACAGCTTTGCTGTTATCCAATTTTCACAAAGAATTTGCCACCATTTTGATCATACACTCTCAAAAATAAAGGTGCCAGAACAATTTTTTTTCCCACTGTAAAGAATCTTTTGTACAATGGAAAGCTTCCATAGATGTTAAAGGTTTTTCATGAAACTATATGCCAATAAAGAACCTAGATTTTTAGGAGTGTAGCAGCAGATTGCTGAACTCTGTCCCCTCCTGTCATTGCAAGAAGAAGAAGAAAAAGATAGATTAGGAGAAGGCATGTAGACGAAGAGGAAACCCTTTAAAGACTTGTGCTCTGAAATGCCTCTCAACCACATGGACTGCATCACTCCACTCCAGATCAACTATAAAGATCTTCTATTTAAGAAAAATGAACATCAATCCTTAATTAAAACTTTAAATAACACTTACGTAAAAAGCGCCTACATTACATGTCAGAGTGGATGGTAACGTCCTCTCATTCTAAATGGACCCTTTTTTCATCTGCAGTGTAAAAGGTCACTCTAGTCCTAGAGTTCAGAGGTCTGACGGATCGGTCAATGTTTAATATGTCGACTACAGTTGCATCGATCAAGTCTTGTGATGCAAACTTATGAAAAGACAAAGAAAATATAGTGATATAATACTGTATAAGATCAGCTGGAAAAAAAAGGAAAGAGTAGGGCAGAGAGGGCGTGAAAATGACATCATATGTCATCAAAACAGCTACAGAGAAACATAGCATGCGAATGTGCTGTGAATTCATCCAATAATCCATTCGGATAATTTGCATTACTTATTGATGACATCATGCCAACAAATATTACATATAGCAAAGGCCTCTTCCCTTGCTTTAGCCAAACATGATTCGTTCTTATTAAAGGCAAATGATTATACTGTAGTATATAATGCAATGAAGTTACAGTCATTTTTAGATGAATCTCACATAATTCGTAAAAGAACTTGTTTTGCGTAAAGAAAATGAAGCCTATTTTTATTATTATTTTCCTCTTGAAATCCTGCTATATAATTTATGAATCATGATCATATTTATTTAGCTGTCTTGGTTGATTTTGTACCAAGTAAAAACAATAATAACAATAAAAATCAAAAAATTGGCTTCATTTTATTTATGACATTTTTTTTCTCCTATGTTTTGGGGATTCAGACACTCTGCGCCCTCACTCTCTCTCTCTCTCTCCCTTTACTTAAAACACCGAAGGGAATGTGCTGTAAAGTAAATGTATAATTAAAAGCAATCCATAAGCTGTGATTCAACATGATGCAACCATGCTTTGCAAAGGCATAGTTTCCATCCGATTACACTATACTGCATTCACCCGCATGACACATGCATTACTAGACGTTATTACTTTCACATAAGATCAGAGAATCAGTTCTTCCCACTTTGAGTGTACTATATATCGAAATAGTGGTTGATCAGCCAAACAAATAACAAAAAAGAGAGTGATATTGTTCTGTACTGACAATAATATTACTTCCAGAGACATTACCAAGACTAACGGTTTGCAGAGTAAATGCTTGATTTCCTTAACTACATCATTAAATATGAGAGTGTACCGTATAATTGGTTATTAAGTTATGTCTATTTGTCAATGTGCAATGCTTCAGTATGATAACATTTCATAGAATACTTGATATGTCACTTCTGAGTACACTATTCATGGATACAGACGAGGCCTTGGGATAGGAAATCAAAATTCTCTCTCTCTCTCTCTCTCTCTCTAAAAATGCTGTAAATTACAATTAAAAGCCATTCAAGCAGGCCGTTCTTATTATTGCATTGAACAACTCCGTTTCTATGCCTAAAATCTGTGCAACTACAGGCCTAAAGGCCCAAGAATTCACAGAGGACCAGGGGTTAGACCCACTCGGAGCTGATTGGAGATTAATGCCGGAACGCCTTCCCTTCCTTTTTTCATTTATTTATTTATTCGATTTTTTTTTTTTGCTTTCAGTGCTATTTTAGATGCGATGAAGTCCCTTTGAATCCTGGATGCGGTTCTAATTGTTCTGTCAGAGTAGCGTCCGTCCTGTCTGGCCTCAAAGTTGGCACACGAGTCAAGCACAATGCCACCGGGATGACATCGCACCCAGAGGCTCCAGCTAAGTGCCACTGATAGTTTTTTTTTTCCCTCAATATTCTCCGCGAATGGGTTCGCACGTGAGCGCATGCTCGCGTGCCGCTGCGTTCCCTGTGAGAGCACCCATGCGCGCACGCTTATATAAATCGAATATACACGTTATAGTTTAGAAGCTTACGCTATCCTGACACATAAGCTAATAAAGTAACCAGCTCACTCAAACGTTCTCTATTTAGTGAATAACTAAGATTACTGTATGTACTCGTTATCCTAATGAAGGTTAAACCACGTTTGCACTGCCCTACTAATGATATATTCCTTACAAATCTACATGAACAGCTACAAGCTGGAAGACACCCTTGTTATCGATGATAAAATGAAATGAGGGAGAATTGAATCAGATGAAATTAAATTTTCCTTTAAAAAAAAAATAAAAAAATCAATGATTCCAGAGCGTTCTGTGAGAGAATGGAGAAAGCTGAAATGAAACGCAGCTGTAAATAAATAATAATAAAAAAACAAAACAAAAAAAAATGAACCCTGTGCTAATATCTAAAGGTTATAAAATTTGGCAGCATAATTGAATGATTATGATCCGAAGAGTTGCTGATATTGCGTTGGTACATTCCTACACACCAGCGTTTATACTGAACACGAAGACAAATCGTTTGAAGAGGCATGATTGGTTGAAATCATTCTGGAGTTCTGACAGAAGTAACTATGGAACAATTAAGAATTAAAATAACCTAATGCAAGAACGTCATCCCAAAAAATGAGAAAAAAAAGAAAAAAAAATTAAAATTAAATAAAAAGATAAAAAAGCAGCTTTTACAAAAACACGTAAGAATGCATAAAGTGACCCTTGCACTTTTTTCTCTTTTGTTCTTGCAAACAGACGTGGCACCTCCTTGTTGAGCACAGAGTGCCGATGTAAGACTTGAGTAGTTGCATACAATGTTTGACTCCAGATCTGCAATGAAGAGAGAGAGAGAGAGAGAAAACGAGAAGTCGTCAGCGCCTGCATTTCACTGGTTGGGTGGAGCCACGCTGAATATGTAGTGTGGGCGGGAACTCACATGATTGGCAGGTGGGCTCTACCAGTGAGGTGGCACATAGCTGTATCCAGGTGTTCCTTGGGGTCGGTACGTTGGCACGGTGACGGGGTGTCCTCCGATCTGAGTGTGCTGAGGGGTGGTCAGCAAGGTTCCTGTAATATAACAGTTGTTATATAAACTGTAGAAAAGTCTTAGGCATGTTAATGTTTTTACCCCCTAAAAATGGTTTTACATATGTGCCTTAGGCTGGCCACAGACCCCCACCCCAATACAGTAAAACTGCACATTTTAGAGTGGCCTTTTATAGTGGCCAGCCTAAGCCTAAGGTACACCTGTGCTATGATACAATAATCATACTGGCTAATCAGCATCTTGATATGCCGCACCTGTGAGGTGGATGGATTATCTCAGCAAAGGAGAAGTGCTCACTAACACAGATTAGACAGATTTGTGAACAATATTTGACAGAAATAGGCCTCTTGTGTACATTGAAAAAGTATTCGATCTTTAAGTTCACCTCATGAAAGATGTGGGCAAAAACAAGTGTTGGATTTATAATTTTGTTCAGTGTACATTTTATTAAAAAAAAAAATATACATAATATTTAAATAATAATACTCTCTCTCTCTCTCTTTCATATATATATATATATATATATTAGTGCTGTTGATTTAACACCTTTATTTAAATAATTAAATATGGAAAAAAAATGTTATATTATTTTTACATAATGTTGTAATAATATTATCAATTTTGGGCTTTTTACCGGCAGACATGGCCATCGTTGTTCCGGCCACCATGCCCATGGCCATGCCGTTGGAGCGGGGCGCAGGTACAGGAGCGGGGTAGATGGCGGAGGGGATGCTGTTGGGCTGGACCACGGTGGTGTGGTGAATTACATGAGGCTGGGCGGCGTACACTGGCTGCGTGTAATAAGCACCCTGAGAAGATGATTATAATGCATTAGTTACAAGTAGTTGAAAGGTTGTATGTTCAAAAAGTGTAAGGGATTATCCATTGTATTGCAAAGTGGGTGTTACGGGATTAAATTCTAATACTGTGATGATGCAGTGGCAAAGTGATGGTATCAGACGTGATATATCAGTCTAATCAGACGTATCAGACTAATACCACGTGACTTTATTATAGCGTTGCACCGATACCACTTTTTCCAGAACGATTCCGATACCTTAATTTTTGGTACTTACCAAGACCGTGTACTTACAGGCTACCTGTATATGCAGTGCATTTGTAATTTTTAAAAAGTTAGTTTGACTAGCTTTCGCGAGGTACACTCGCAAGGTCTCTCGCTCTCTCCCGTGCACTATGTATGTTATGCATGCAGTATGTTCTATCTTCTGGGAGACTTGGGATATCTGTATGATGCCCATACAGGATTTCCTGGAATGACATGTGTTGTCTACTTCTGTGGCGAGGCATATTTGGAGTGTCTGCGCGAGAGTGCCCTCTGACTTTCAGCATTTTCTACTGATCACAGAGCCATGCTGCACTGACAACCTGTGCATAAAATAAATCGCAGCCTTGGCCAAAATGACGTATGCTTTCATTTTGATTAATCGTGCACCCCTAATCCTTACGTATCTTTCATTTGATAGCAAAGTGAATATTTAGAGCTGTGCCAGCAGGGCTCAATAATAAGGATTTTTTTTCCACTGGTCGGTCAGGCCAGTGGTTCAAATTCTTACATTGGGGAGAAGTATTTGATACACTGCTGATTTTGCAGGTTTTCCCACTTACAAAGCATTTAGAATATTTATCATAGGTACTCTTCAACTGTGAGAGGTGTAATCTAAAACAAAACAAAACAGATCCTTCAGGTTTCGGGGCTGTCGCTGGGAAATACGGACTTTCAGCTCCTCCAAAGATTTTCTATTGGGTTCAGGTCTGATGACTGTCTAGGCCACTTCAGGACCTTGAGATGCTACTTATGGAGCCACCACTTAGTTGCCCTGGCTGTGTGCTTCGGGTCCTTGTCATGCTGGAAGACCCAGCCACAACCTGTCTTCAATGCACTTACTTGAGGAAAGGAAGTTGTTGGCCAAGGTCTCACGATACCCCAGCCATCCTCCCCTCAATACGGTGCAGTCGTCCTGTCCCCTTCTCAGAAAAGCATCCCCAAAGAATGATGTTTCCACCTCCATGCTTCACGGTTGGAATGGTATTCTTTGGTTTGTACTTATCCTTCTTCTTCCTCCAAACACGGCGAGTGGAGTTTAGACCAAAAAGCTACATTTTTGTCTCATCAGACCACATGACCTTCTCCCATTCCTCCACTGGATCATCCAGATGGTCATTGGCAAACTGCAGACGGGCCTGGCCATGCGCTGGCTTGAGCAGGGGGACCTTGTGTGCGCTGCAGAATTTGTTACTAACACAGAAATGTGTTACTAATTGTTTTCTTTGAGACTGTGGTCCCAGCTCTCTTCAGGTCATTGACCAGGTCCTGTCGTGTAGTTCTGGGCTGATTCCTCATCTTCCTCATGATCATTGATGCCCCACGAGCTGAGATCTTGCATGGAGCCCCAGACCAAGGGAGACTGAACGTCATCTTGAACTTCTGCCATTTTCTAATGATTGCACCAACTGTCATTGCTTGTCCTGTAGCCCATCCCAGCCTTGTGCAGCTCTACAATTTTATCTAATGTCCTTACACAGCTCTCAGGTCTTGGCCATTGTGGAGAGGCTGGAGTCTGTTTGATTGAGTTTGTGGACAGGTGTCTTTTATACAGGTAACAGGTTCAAACAGGTGCAGTTAATACAGGTAATGAGTGGAGAACAGGAGGGCGTCTGTGAGAGCTGGAATTCTTACTGGTTGGTAGGTGATCAAATAAAATGCAAATGAATGACTTAAAAATCATAAAATGTAATTTTCTGGATTTTTTTAAGATTCCGTCACTCACAGTTGAAGAGAATCTATGCTAAAAAATACAGATTTCTACATGCTTTGTAAGTGGGAATACCTGCAGAATCTGCAATGTATCAAATACCAGTGAAACATCACAATTTTCAGGTACAGAAATAATAATGGATATGCACGAGTACTTTGCACACATGATTTGAATGAAAAAATATAAGATAAAATCAAAGCTCACAGCCAGAATGATGCCTCTCTGACAGCGTGAGAATAGTCTATTAAATCGAGTTCTCTTTCATGTCGTCTTGTGCTTTAATGGGGAAATTCACACAAAATGATGTCAAAGTGCCTGTATAGTCAAGTGTCCTTGAGAAACATAGTCGGTTATGTCTTAAGTGAACGTAAACAGAACGTTGAAAAGAAAACAGTATGTTGGATAAATGACACTCTTAAAGTGACATGCAGCATAATGAACCTTATTGCTGTCTTTGTCCTCAATATTAAAGGTCGCCTGACATGGGGTTATTTTATTATTTCATAATGTTTCCTGGGTTGCCCTTTTTTAGATCAAAATAGTCATAATTTAGAAATAAAAGGCATTTTTCCTGGCCTCTGTTTTGAACACTCTGTTTGAAGGTCTACTGTGGGATTCAATGTAACCGTCCACTGCTGTGATTGGCTGACATGCTTGCACATGAAATAGCTACATATTACATGTGAAACTCTCTCGAATACTTTTACCACTGCTATTATACGTTTTTACTACTACAGCTATCGAGATTAACAAATCGTGAGAAGTTTTTGAAGTGTTTAGGTCTATTCCCATCACATAAAATGTTGCTGTGATGAGAATTGAGCAAGCAGATGAAGATCTTATTGCAACACAGTTTCTGCATTCTCTCTAATGCTTTCACCAATGCAAACACCATGATGTACATACAGTAAGAGCTTCGTTGTGCAGTCAGTGTAACATGTTTAATTGATTTCATAACAAGTTGTCGAGACAAACTCGTGCTGTGTGGAAAGATTGTTCTTTGATGGCTTTTTGTATAATTTTGATCACAATTTAAATAAGATTATTTTCATCCTACTAAAAGAAATGATGTGAAGTTGATATTTTAGTCACTGGCTTCACTGATGTATAAACAGTATCGAATGATTTTGAGAGAAAAGATTACCTGTCTGAACTTGAACAATTAGGCTAGTTTTTCTGCCCAATAATATAACATAAATTCAAAAACTCTGCAACTTGGTATCGGTACTCGATATCAGCAAGTTCTAAAAATAAATGTATCATATCGGACTTATTCTAGAAAAAGTGGTATCTGTGCATCATTAGTTTTCACTGTATAATTGAAAAATAGAATAATCCTTATTAAAGTTACACAAGTTATTGAGTCAAGAGCAGTGACTAGTTTTCTCTTTGTTTTTTGTTGTTAGATGAACAAAGGCAGCAGTATGTTTATTAGGCTGTTGTCACTTTAAGATCTGCACGTATCCAACATTCTGTTACACTTGCGTTTTCTTTCTCAAATTAATTCGATAAATTTACTTCATAGACATCCTTCACTGATATTTCCATTCTGCTCTCTTTTTGATCTGTTGTCATTGTTTCTTAGTCTTGACACAAACACTGTACACCAGTGGAGATTTCTTTAAGATTGCAAGGGAAGCTCAGCTTCCCCTATAATGTCAAACAAATAATGATCAAATGTGTACTATTGTGTTAACATTTTAATGAGTAAAAATGCGTTAGAACACGGTAATCTCGAAGACGAGTTTGTTCAGAATAAGCTACAAATAGCAGGTCGACTGACTTGATCTCCTTCTCATGCATACCTGTAGCGCGTCACAGTGCATGCATTTTCCTATGGCATTTCCCCGTTGAAGCTCGGCGTCCATTGAATTCAATGGGGCTGCTTGAACAGTTTTTTTCAGTGCTGTTAAACTAGACGGTCATTGGATAAATGCTGCGATTATGTCCCGCCCACGGACGCCGGGCGTCTCTGGGGTGAATAGGGAAGTGGGCTGGCCTGGCGTCCGTGCGTCCGCGTGATGATTGGAGGATTGCATCTCCTTTTGATTGACAGCGATTTCACCCAATAAAAAAAAAATCGCTGACGCGGAAGCTAGTTTAAAGACTTCGTGCTCAGTCTCGTCGCGAATTTTGTGTGTATTTTACTCGAAAGACGAACTACTGTAACATATTTCTTAGTATTTGCAATTTTCATCAGATATTTCACAGTTCAACCTAATTCCCACATTTCTTCCGTCGATGTCAGGTGTCTTGTTACATGTGCGGGCGTGGTGTTTGAATCACGGCACATCTGTCTAGTTTGGTTTCACTTTTGTGTCGGGATTCGGACATGCATTCTCCGCGTGTTTGTTTTCGGTTGTGAGTGCACAGGATGACCTTATGGTCGTACTCATGCGTAACGTTAGCGTTCTGTCTTGTCGTGTTCGCTCTGTTCAGTGTGTTGTGTGGCACATGGTTTGTGTTTACATCGGCCACGTGCTTTCATGTCATGTTTTGTCTTGTGTAGCACACAGCTTGTGTTTTAAACTAGCTGTGTGCTTTCATGTTGTCATGTTCTGTGTGAACACGTGTCTTATGAGTGTTCTCATCGTTCTTCAGGTCTCATTTTGTGTGAGCACAATTGCTTTTTAATTTGTTTTATTGGTCATGTGTTTTTGCACATGGCTTGTGCTTGTCATGTGTTTGTTGTGCCATATGTGCTTTCCTGTCATTGTGTCGACTCCCATCTTGTTTCCTGATTATTAGTTATTTTGCCCCACCAGTCCTCCCTCGTTACCTGCCTTTTTTGCTCCCAATTTATTTCCCTTGTTTGTTTTTTGTTTGTTTTTATCAATAAAATAAAGCCCATCAACTCTGCATCGAGTCCTCGCTCTTTTCACCATCCCCACACCTGACAGTCGAGTTTAAAAAAAAGAAGAAGAAAAAAGAGCTTCCCCTCTTTGAAAGACCAGCAGCCGCCACTGCTGTACACTGTGTGTTTTTGGTATCTGAGCATTTTAAAGGGTAACTAAACCCCTGGTCAGAGCCTGACTCCACCCACTGGCAATATTGAAAAATGCTGAAAAAGTGGGCAGACCCCAGCGGAGATAGAGGGGGACGAAATGGATGCTAAAACACTCTATCCAGATTGTTTTCAATACTCGCAATTCCAACTCCTGACTCCCTACAGTGGTTTTGACGGAACAAGCTGGTTTTTATACTGCCAAGGGCGTAGCTCGCGTGGTGAGCTGAAACCTGCGTACGTCACAAAGTGCGGAACATCCAATAGGAAAATTCAACTGCAGTAGCCACCGTTTAACCTGAAGAGGGCAGCACTAAGACGTTTTTACACCATATATTGTAGGAATAAAACACTTTATACACAAATGTCAAAAAAGCTACTCGCATCAATGACTGCAAGATCCATTCTTACAGATCATTAACTAAAAAAAGTTGGTTTAGTGTAGAATAAGTATAGTACAGTATAGTACAGTATAGAATAAGATCTTACCTGAGCATAGAGGTTCTGCTGGGGATAGGCACTTCTAATAGGGTACATGGCCGTCTGGTAGGGGTTAGGGGACGGGGAATAGGGAGGAGGGGCTCCATTGGTCTGATTAGGGGGGACTTTATAAGGCGTTCCTGCAGTGTATCCTGAAACAGAGACAGAAAGAGATTGTTAGGTCTGGTAGGCATTAGGCACACAACAATCGAATATAATAAAAAAAAAAATATTCCTTCACACACATCCATGTGCTCTAGTTGGATTTCCAAAATCTCCTGCGCCAAACTAAACTAAAGCACATATGAAGTGCAAACACTCACACACCCTTTCAAGTAAGAGATGTCACACATTAACAACCAAGCACACACACCGACACTTTCTCTTTTTCCACACGCACCATCTGTTTGGCTTTTCAATTGCTAACGATTTATTGGAGGACTGTAGACAACAAAGTAGTAACAAAAAGCACAAGAATGTGAATTCAGCTCTCCAAACAGAAGTCTTTCAAAGAAATCATACATTGCTTGAGGCGTTATTAGTTACACAGCACACCAAAAGATTCCCTACATACCAAAGAAATGCTACCAGTCATTACTTCACATTTGAAATACAGACACTGATGCAACACACCAGATTCAAGTGTCTTTAGTCAAGCTTAGCCACTCCTCTCTAATTCAATCCCACAACACAATTTTATGCAATCTCAACTCCAAAAAGCTCAGCTGTCTACGGTAAGATCTACAGTATGCAATGTCACAAACCCTAGTGAGCTGCTAACCAAGACAGCATTTTAAGAAATCATAGGCGCATTCTGACACAAAGGCTTAAAGAAAATATGTTATACTATGTTATAATTATGTCAACTGTTAACTTGAATTCATATATATATATATATATATATATATACATATATACACATACAGTATATATATTTATAGAAACCATACAAAAAAACCAAAACTAATAAATTATGAAAAAAATAAATAACTTTAAAATGAATATATATATATATATATATAAATTAATTCAAAATATTAATAAAAACTATAATAGTATCACATTCACAACACCACTAAAAGAACACATTTTTGACCAAATTATTATATCCTCTGCATGGAGGACAATCCCAGAATGCATTGTTAAAAATAATCCAAACGAAGAGAAGGCAAGAGAAATCTTTTAAAATTAATTTTATATGCTATTAATGCTAATGTCAAATTTGACTGAAATTGAGTCTCCAGAGCACTTTGTCAGTTTCTGCCTATGTAGAGCGTTATAAATCCAAATAAAAATAGATATAAAATTGTCATGTGATCAACAAAGGACATAAAAGAAAACCTTGGAATATTTCATTATTATTTAAATTATAACAATGAATTCAGTCAATACAGAAGTATATTACTACTATAATAATTATATTGTACTGTAAAAATAAATAAATAAAGAATTACAATAATTATTTTGAAAAATAACCATAATAATCATCAAAATAATCAAAAAATGGATTTACGGAATTCACGTGAATCATACGTGAATTTAATTTGATACGTAAGATAAAAAAAATCTTAAAATCTTAATCGTGACAAAAAAGGTTCCAGGAAAACAAAAAAACTTCCTGACCAAATAAAAATATTTTAAAATAAATAGAAAAAAAAAACGTTCCATTTCACTTAGGATGCTGCCTTAACCCGGAGACACACTTACAGACTGTTTCCAACGACTGCAGCAGATTTTAAACTGTGAACATTGACTGAACACAACCGTCTCTGACTCAGTGTTTGGGCACGATCAGTCGTAAATATCAAATTACATTCATAACCAGCCTTACTTATAGTCTTTAAGTGTGTCCCCGGCTTTAGTAGGTAATTGCCTATGTGGGCAGTATGCAGCAATGCAGCTCACTAGGTTTTAGAACAGAGCTCATCATAAAGTTTGTTTACGCATCATGCGATCAATGTGGGTGTGTGCGTACTCTGGGGAAAAAGAACAATGAGAGCAAGTCTTCTTTAGAAGCAGTATGGAACACTATAGCTATGTTCACACTGTCAGTCCAAATCCAATTATTTGTGTATCTGATTGGAATCTGATCTAAATTATTGACTGTTCACACTGTGTATCACAACTGTTCAGATCCAATTTGTGTGTCCAGTGGCACTCTTATGTTTTCCAGATTATCTGCATTTGTTTATTTGGTAATGACGTTGCATTAGTAGGCATGCGCAAAACAACAAACACAGCAACAATAGCAGAAACGTGTCTTATTTATATGAAACTCAATGTATCCAGTATGGCAGAGGCAGAAACGTAAGATGCTGGTATGAGCGGCTTCATTCTGTGCTGTCGCCTGTAGTCTCCATCGATCTCAAAACATGTCACCATTGTATTGTAATTTTCTGCTTGACCAACACTTTACAACAACACAACCTTGTTTCAGCAGCAACTTTCAGCATGTTTCCTATAATAACTTTGTTTTCCGTGGCGTGAGAAAGTGACAAACCACGCAAAATCCGATTGAGGCGGTCAGACTTAAACCGATTTCCAGAAATTTCAAACCACATATGAATGTAGCTCAAACTGAAGATTTTTTCGCACTTGCTAAATATCAGATTCCACTCGGATGTGCACAAAAATCTGATTTAGACTGACTGTCTGAACGAGGCTCTTGGGAAAGGGTGTGTGTTTGTGTTATAGAGTAACAGGGGAACACACAGCAGTTACAGTAGAGTATAGTAATCATATTTACTGAATGCTGTAGATGAGGCCTGGTACTGCCTGCTCTCTGAGCCAGCGTCCACGGCCAGGTCATAGGAGCCTTCTCCGGGCCCCGGAGCTGATGCCGTCTGGGGCCAGGCCTGCTTCACCAGCAGCACTGTCCCAAACAAACACAACACAAGAAGGGTTACACATGACACAAGTCACGACTGTCGCCACATCGGTACCCTGACTGTCCTCTCTTCCTCTCACTGTCCCTCTGGATTCTTGTATTAACAGACCGCAAAGGTAGGCTTCCAGAAATAAAAATACTACTCAAAAAAAAAAAAAAAAAAAGATAAAAGAAAGATATACAGATCTACCATAATTTTAATTCCTTTCACTTTCCAAAATTCTGAAGCAAGAAGAAGCTGAATTTATCATGGAAATCTTTACAGTGGTATCTAGTTATCAACCTAGGTATCTAGGTATCTGGACATTAATGCGCTCTAGGGATTTAATGCTTCTCTAAAAGCAATAAAGAAACTTCTAAAGGAATTTAAAAAATGTCAAAATTCAAAACAGAAACTACAAAAAAAGATTTTCTATTCGAGAATGAGACTACAAAATTGAAAACCATTAGCTACTAAAATGTCTTTACGGAGCAAGTTTCCTGTGAAATTGCTGGCACAGTTCCTAATTTGTAAGTCTTTTAGGATAAAAGCGTTGGCTAAAATAAATGTAAAATGCAAATGTATTGCAAATAAAACACTCTGGGCTTGCAATTGAAAGCTGGATGGTTCAATTCCCATTAAACTGAACAGCAGTGAAAATCAATGCATCCCACTCAATGGATATATATTCAAAATTAAAATTCTAGGTTACTGCTTACAGAATATATGGTGTATATGCATATATACTGCCTAAAATTTGTTAAAAAATAGCAGACATATAAAACAATAGGCATTATTCAATGATAAACGTGTCGTTACACGTGAGTGGTATCATATTTTCAGCTTAGATATTAATGTTTATCTTCCATTTTATGTACAAAGTATTTGGCAGTAAAATATTAAAGGAATAGTTCACTTAAAAAATGAAAAATCTGTCATCATATACACACCCTCAAGTTGTTTTATGAATTTTTTTTTTTTCTTCTGCTGAACACAAAATAAGATTTTGAAGAATGTCGGTAAACAACAGGTGATTCAGAATTGAGATACAGATTTTTTTTTTTTTTTTTGTCGTTCTATGAAAGTAAATGGGGTCCATCAACTGTCTGGTTACTGTCATTCTTCAAAATATCTTCCTTTGTGTGTTCAGCAGAAGAAAGAAATTCATACAGGTTTGAAACAACTTGAGGGTGAGTAAATGATGACAGAATTATGTGACAAATCACATAATAGAAGAGATTGTGATCTGTACGCTGTACATTTTGGCAAATGTACAAGGTCAAATGTAGATTCTTGTGCATACAAAAAGCTGCATGCCGTTCATCCCATTTATAAAGCAAACAATAGCATTAGTAATATAGCAGGATGCTAATCCATAATGAATGTATGTGTTGGCATATAGAGGTTAAATATCAAAGCATGTCTGCCTTCAAGAAAGCCACAAATTTTTGGCTTACTACAGAAAGATTGTCCCAGTAATATTATTACTGCAAGTTACGTCAGATAAACGCATCAACAAAATGATTAAAAAGTATTTAATTGCATTTCTTCCTTCCAAATGGCGCAATCCTTTAAGAGTCACAAGGGGGCGATAGTGCAAAGTGATGAAATGTGACCAAACACAAGAGCACAGAAGGACAAAGAGAAAGAGAGACTGCTGGAATCACACAATGGCATCAGTGCCGCATAGACGCCTCACACATGACATCACTGCAGTGCTGCGTTTTATGCATGCATGAGGGCTTTATGTGATTAAGATAATTCATGTGATGACTGTGATGCTCATGATAATGGTGAAAGTATAATACTGTAGGAAGAATAGTGTGAAATATCCACACATTTAAGATAGTTCAGTTCAAAATGAAAATTCAGTCATCATGAATTTCTTTATTCTGCTGAACACAAAGGAAGATATTTTGAAGAATGTCAGTTACCAAACAGCTAACTGGACCCATTGACTTCCATAGTGGGGGGAAAGAAATCCTATGGAAGTCAATGGGTTGACAGATTTTGTCGATACTATAAACTAAAATTGGATCAGACCGATTAAATGATGATAGCTAAAATCAATATGAATTGATGAATGAATAATAAGAAAAAGCTAAAATCATTAATACAAAATTTCCAATCAATGTAACATAGCGCTAAACTTTATTCGAAATTTAACCACTTGAAAAACAACTTGAAAATGACAACATTTTGTAATTTTGCAATTAGAATAAATTAAAATACAGAAAATATTGTCATGACTACTGAAACACTGACACTTTTATTATTTTTACTTGTATGATATATGGAATATATAAAACTAACGTTGGAGAATAAATGGAGAGAGAAAAAAAGAGACCGTAATAAAAATTGCACAAAAAAAGACATAGTTGTAGTTGTTTAAATCGGTGGTTCTCAACTGGTTGTGCTTCAGGTCCCAGATTTTACATTAGACATCAAGTAGCGATCCAACACAGGGCCAAAATTGTTACGAAAAAAAAAAAAGTTTGATGGCAAGTATTCATTGCATAAAATACTAGAGCTGCTTTTTTTGTTTCATATAGAAACAACAATTCTTCCCAATTCTGAGCAGACATGAGACATATAAACAAAATAACCTGTAGTCTAATTCAGAAATGTTAACGAAATAATAATTGCTGCAGTCTATTAACTTGAATGAATGATTCAATGACTCACTCATAAATACTTCACTTGTTTCATTACTGGATGAATCAGCGTTTTTTGAATGATTCAATGACATACATTGTTAAGTCACTTGTCAAATTTTTAATGGCCACTACTGGTGTAATGCTTTTTGAATGATATTTGAAGGGACAAGTTGCTTTCAAAAGGATTTGCTCTATTGGTCTATCCGTAGACATCAGTATTTATATACAAACTATAAACTTTTATCCCAGAACTTCTGAATATTTGTAAGATTTGAATGTTCTGTTGTGATTGTCAAAGGTTTAATAGACATAGATGAATTGTTGTCATTTCGGAATGAGATCGTTTGAGTGTTTGAATCGAGATTGCGATCTTTTAACAATTAATTATATCAGTGTTTATATACGAACTATAAACTTTTATACCAGAACTTCTGAATATTTGTAAGATTTGAATGTTCTGATCGCCAAAGGTTTATTAGACATAGATGAATCGTTGTTATTGTCATTTCGGAATGAGATCGTGTGGGTGTTCTTTTAACGATTAATCGTGCAGCTCTATAAAACACTGTAGTCCGCACAAGCCATGTCCTCATTTTTGATCTGTCCATTTAGCATCTGTCTAATTTAAATACAGTATAGTATTGTATAAGACATAGTATTTTATTGGACATTTTACATTATTTGACAGTGTCCTTGTTACATGTTACATGTAATTACTCTACTTATAACTGTAAATGATGCATAATTACATAACCCTAACCCTGTAGTAAGAACAGGTAGTTAATTATTACTACTCAGTACTTAAATGTATATTTACTCTACCACGAACCCAAAATTTACAGGAATTTTAAAAGCAGATTATTTTCTTACTTGCTCAGATACAGATTTTTATTCTTTGCATTTAGCATTTGGTAACCACTGGTCTAAACGCACATCTTACCACACAGACAATTTTTTGTAGCATATATTTTTAAAGACAAAAGGATATTGCAGAAATCTTTGAGGTCCACATGCTTTCATGAAGATATTGGGTGAAAACCACAGAAACTTGAGGAGAAAGTGATGTGACATATTGTGCTGGTCAACCAAAACTACCATTTTCTGATATCATATCCAAACAAAATCTGATATCATATCCAAACAAGCCAGTAACTAGATCAAACATTAAAATATGAATAACAGCAAAATGTCAACTTGATCTCTGATGTAAGAAACAGCCTGTATAAACATGTAAGAATGTATTAGAGTGGCAAGTGGCATGTAATATCCTACCATTGCAGAGGAAATTATACAAAAATGATATCAGTTCAGGGCGGCACTGATCACAGACTTCACAGACCTCACAAACCAAGTCCACTAGTGCACCTCCTGATGCAAAATGTGATCCAAAAATGTCTGCTTACAGCACAAAACCAGTTTTTTTTTTTGTTTGTTTTTTACTAAAACATCATGCTGCAAGTTGAGTCACACATAGCCGACTCATACAAGCCTGTTAACAAAACACTAGTGGGAAATTATCTGCACTATGCCAACCTTCAGATGACTCATCCTCACTGCGTCTGGTTTCTCTCGAGACTGAATTTCACACTCAAATCATGCAGACGTACAACTAAAAACAGTTTCAAAGAAATGTCTAAATAGCATTATTCGTAAACAACTTGCCATATCGAGACGGACACAGATTTTTACACCAAAATCATTTCAGGGAACAGCTCATTACTGAACAAAACACAATTAGTGGCCTCGTTCATCAGAAGCTTTCGAGGTGCGCTGTTATATGAACACAAATAAAGCCACTTTTCTAATCATTATGAAGATTTATTGTATACTGAGTCAGAGCATTTGTCACTATAGTTGGAACCAGCACTATATAGCTGTAACTTGCGTTAAAGGCCAGCATCATCAACATGAGGCTAGACAGTTTTACGCATAAGGATGTGTTTGTGAATACTGTATGCGTTTCATTGGTGGAACACTAACATGTGTAGATGTTTGGTCTCATATATTTTGCTAATGGAAGAGTGTATTATGCCATATTCACTGGAAAGTTTGGAGGGTGTACATACCTGGTGGGTATCCTGGGCTACCTGTCTGATAAAGGTTGGCTGTGTAGGTTGGGGCAGTCGTAGGATAACCTCCGGGATAGCCTGTACACATGCAGAGAGACAACAATTTAGAAATGACACTAAAACATAAAATAAACATTAATAATTAATTGAATTAATCTGCACAGGCATTACAGAGCCGATGTGTCAGACTTGCCAACATATAAACAATTCCTCAAACTATTTTTATTATTAAATTATATTTTGTATACAAAGTATGGAGTTTGCAAACGTTTAAGAAAAAAAGACAAGAAAAGAAAAGACATGTCTTTTATGCAGAAAAGCTGCATTTTTTTTTTATCAAATAATACATTAAAAACAGTAATATTGTGGAATATTGCTTTCAGTATCATTACTCTAGTCTACAGTGTCACATGATCCTTTAGAAATCATTCTAATATGATGATTTGATGCTCAAGGAACATTTCTTTTTATTATCAATGTTAAAAAAAGTTATGCTGCTTAATATTTCTGTTGAAACTGTTCTATTTCAGGATTCTTTGCATTTATTTTACGAATCGTAGCATTATAAACAACTTTACTGTCACTTGCAGTTTAATGCGTCCTTGCTGAATAAAAGTATTTTATTTTTTTCTTTGCATAAGGTTATGAACAGCAAAAACAGCTAAAAATCCATGCCAAGAAAAGCAGCTTGTGCACTCATAATAGTAGATTTCTCACAAAAATGACTTTATTGAGGCCAAATGCAAAGACAAAATGTTTTCGATTCACATTGTCATGACACTGATGATGTGAATTTGAAAAAATGTCTGCATTTGGCCTCTAAATAAAGTATTTTTTTAATAAGAAATATGTTTCTATTATGTGTGTGAGCTTCTCTTTTTTACAAATCAATCCATTTCCAATTGGATACAATAAAGTCCTGTCCAACCTTTTCAAGTTGAATATCCCATTTCACTCAGCAATACAATAGATTAGTAAGTTACAAGTAACATGTTTTTTTTTAGAGTATCACCAGAACATGAATTAACGAAAGCAAATGCAGATTAATTTTTATAAAAGAAAAGGCTGTTACTATTTCTTGTAATATCAAGTCTCTGTAACCTGTGATATCATAAGGAAAGACAAAGAGAGGGAGAGAGAGCGAGGTGAGCTCTTTATTGAACAGGAGGAGCACAGATGGCACCCATTACGACATGTCTGTCTCAATAAGACACAGTCGGATGAGTGTGAAACCCAGTGCATCGCTCCATAAGGAACAGCAAGAGCTGTCAGACGTACAGGGTATCGTGGGAAGGGAGTATCCAGGTCTGGACAGCTCAGTGCAACGGATGGATTATATCAACACTGGAGGATGCAGGAGAAATGCTGCTATGTGAGGACCTGCTTGATCATGTGTTTGGTAAAGGAACCGTTCACCCGTAAATGATGACAGAATTGTACACACATAGTAGAAGTTCTAATTGACTTGCCAGAGCATTTCTATCCCAATAATAAAAAGGGATGGATTTATATGAAATGGTAACACTTTACAATAAGAGTCCAACTGTAACATTAAGGTTAATAAATGCCATAATATTGTTCATCATTATTAGATTGTTAATCATTGTTAGATCATACGTTTTATAGGTCTATCATTATTTAATGCACAATGAACTAACTTGCATGATCAAGTTATAATTAATATATGAATATTTATTTTATGAAATATGTACAGTATATTTTTTAAGGTTCAGCACTGATTTTTTCTTTTAGAAATAAAGTTTTCAGCACTAGATTACTTGGAGTTACATTTTTATTTTATTTTATTCAGTAAGTATCCATTTTATAAATTTAATCGGTTAATCAGTTAATCATCGGCCAGGGGTGCGTTTCCCGTACAACGACGTAGTTCGCTGTTTCACTAGTACGATGCATCGTTGGAGAAATCAACTAGCTAGTCACGACTGTTTCCCGAAACCCATTGTCGCAAAGTATCGTTCAACCACATTGGTTTCGCATGTGGTTGAGTAATAACTACTTTTAATGAAACTGTTTGAGATCCAATTAACGCAGGAATTTTGTATATAAATTGAAAACATGTCATCTGAGTTCTATTTGTAATTGTTCTCAGTTGTTTTGCTTTATTACTAGACTCAATATTTGGCTCGTTCTTACATAGTAGAGCACGTTCGCACATGCGCACTCTTCAAACATGTTACTTTAAATCTTCTGACAAACTAAAAGTCGTAAATTCCATTTGTATGTATTCTAAATAAAAGACACCGGTAGTACTGAATGTCAGCTTGCTTATTTTGCTCAAGATAAGGATTTATTACCTCCAAATGTCATGCAATATAGAAACGATGCCTCTAACCACAGGTCGAGAGCTGTCGTTCAAACCACACAACTTTGCGATGCTGTTTGCGAATGTTCGTTGGAACGATGGTTTCGGAAAACACCAAATCGTTAAACTATGCTGATAACGACGGAACTTGCGACCATAGTTGGCTAACGATGCTTTCTGGAAACGCACCCCAGTGTGGTCCAACCAAGTTCCCTTATCGAGTAGGTCCCTCAAACCATTTTCCTCAAAATACTGAGCTGATCTGCAATTTTATGAGGCCAAAGTCAGCTACCTTATAACATTTTTATTCATGTTTTTTTTTTTTTTTTTTTTTTTTTGGGGGGGGGGGGGGGGTGAGGGGAGATAATCGATAATTGAATCTAAATCGAATCAGACTGGGAAAATTAATCGTTAGATTAATCGATGCATCAAGAAAAATAATCACTAGATTAATCGTTTAAAAAAATAATCGTTTATCACATATATATATATATATATATATATATATATATATATATATATATATATATATATATATATTTTGTGACCCTGAATCACAAAACCAGTCACAAGTCGCATGGGTATATTTGTAGTAATAGCCAACAATACATTGTATGGGTCAAAATTATCGTTTTTTATTTTATGCCAAAAATCATTAGAATATTACATAAAGAAAATGTTCCATGAAGATATCTGGTAAATTTCCTACCTTATAACATTTTTATTCATGTTTTTTTCCCATTCAGATATGTAAATCAACATGCATAAATTCAATTAATGGGGTGCAGTTAATGGGGATCTATTATCAATCTATAATCGATTAATAATAGATAATAGATTAATCGATGCATCAGAAAAAATAAATAGCTAGATTAATCGTTTAAAAAATAATCGTTTATCCCAGCCCTGGTCAAAATTATCGTTTTTTCTTTTATGCCAAAAATCATTAGAATATTATGTAAAGATCATGTTCCATGAAGATATTTTGTAAAATTCATACCTTAACATTTTTTTTTTTTGGATGCAGCACAATCGCTAACATAAATGGACAACTTGAAAAGCGATTTTCTCAAGGTTTTGATTTTTTTGCACCCTCAGATTTCAGATTTTCAAATAGTTGTATATTAAGCTGAATAAATAAGCTTTCCATTGATGTATAAATCTCAATTTAAAAAACTGTGACTGGTTTTGTGGTCCAGGGTCACATATATCAGGTAAATATTAAATCTGTGAAGTATGCTCATTCCCAGTGATCACAAATGAGACCTCTTTTATATATTTATGATTTCTCCAAGACAACAATGAGATACTACAACTACTATTTCTACTAAGAATAAATAATTATTTATAAATTAAATATAAATGATAATAATAATATCAACATATAAATAAAGAAATGATATATATATATATATATATATATAAATAATTGCAAAGATAATATGCAATTAATTATAATTGTTATTATTATTTTAATAAATCAAAAAATAAATAAACCTGATATACAACTTCCCATATATCCCATATATTGAGAGAAAACAGGTTTAGTTATAGTAAGAAATGACATGTTTTGCAGTAAAAACTACTTTTACAGCAGTAAATGTATTTAAATTGTACTTAATTTCATTATATTTTGATTCTACTTCATTAATTATTATTATTATTTTTCTATATTTTTTATTAAAATTATACATCTGGTTTGATTCAAATGAAGAAATTCAATCCTGAATGGAAGACAACGCTGGCTAGCTCCTGAGCAGCTCAGACCAGGCAAAACTACTCGCTTAAGATCGCTTAAATTCTCCCCGTTGATCTCATATGATATATCTCGTATTTGTTTATTGGGTTTTTGCAACAATGTCTCAGACTAGGCTCAAATTTGCCTAGACACCAAAACCAGACATCTAAATATGAACTAATTTCTAAATTATATGCTATATGCTATTAGCTGCTTTTCACATTCATATTACAGCTCAATATTCTCACTGTCCGTAAACAACTGTCTCTTTTAATTTCTCCTAAGGAATGTTCTAAAATAAAACTCATATTAGAATTGTAAGTGAGAAAACCTCTAAGCAATAATATTTTCCTCTGGGTAACTGCAGAGAGAAAGACATAATGAAACAGACTGAAAGCAAGGGGGGAGGGGAGGAGTAGATGTTGGTGTGTAAACAGTCTCTATTGACCCAGAGAACCCCTTCAATAAGAGCACATCAAATATGAGCCTACGGTTGCCATAGCAGCAGACAAACACCTGCCATAAGTGACACGACACTCATTGCTCTATGCATAAACACACGCCAACACAGAACAGAAGTGAGAGGTGAAGTATGCATTAAAGCACACCCATTCCTGCACATCACAGATAGACGCTGTTAAAAATTCATTTATGGGTGATTAATCCCTTTACAGACTACAAGAAACAGAATTTGCAGCTTAAAGGTGCAGTAAGTGATTTTGAAGAAACACTGTTTCTTAATAATTGAAACTGCTCCACCTCCAAAATGCATGAACATGTGTGGATATCTCTCTATCATATCATATCACACCAGCTCGGGAGAAACAATGACACTCAAAACTGCCCTGTAACTATAGCTAACATTACAAAAACAAGATAACTTGGTTCTGTGAAACATAGCAAAACCAATATGGAGCAGAAAACAATGCAATCTTTCTGTTCGTTTTCAGACCTTCTTGCTTAGGATCTCTAGCCAGTCCCTCCAGGATTTCACGATTTTTTTTTGTGATTTTTGCG